CAACGTGGGTGAGTGCTAACGTGCGCACAAGGGCCGCCGGCGCACTGAAACTCCGGCAGCGGTTGGCCAACATTGAGGAGAAGCTCACCGGCCCCATCTTCTTCCTCCGGAGGCTGAAGCTGGATAGTAGAAACTGCTATTTGAGTTGATTTTTTAGGTGAGGTTTAACTGAGATTTTGATTTGGTGAAAGCCGGGTTGTGGGTCGGGTTTTTACAGAGTAATGGACCGCGTCCAAAAGCATTATCCAAGCTTGATCGAGTCCACTAGTGATTGGGCCTGTGTTACCCAACTAACCTTGAGTTGGGCCCGATGAAGTTCTTAGGCTTTTTTCTACCCTCTAAAATCTCGTTTAAAAGTATATTTAAAATAACTGAAAGTGTTTTTAGTGAAAATATTTTTAGAGTCTAAAAGTATTTGAAACATTTCCAACAAAAAGCATCATAAGTCCTTCAAGTACTTTTCCAAGATTCACTTGCAGTTTAACTAACAATTGGTTCCAAAAATATTTTCACGTAAAACACTTTTAAGCATTTTAAAAGTACGTCCAAACGAGTTCTAGATTGAAAAGTTCTTGTGTGCGGTCCACTGTATGCACTAAAACAATAAGAACAATGTTAGGGAGCCCAAATTTTGTAAGCAAATTTGCAAACCAAATGATGTGTCATTAATAAGAATCAAACATGTTAATCGACACTTAATTAATAATCCAATAATCTACGACCACATTATTAGTAAATTATCCAAACAATAAACAAAACTGAATTAGTCCGGACCATTAAAAAGTTACCGAAACAAAAAACATTATGAGCTTTGTCTTCTTTCTACCGTCAGCAATCAGCATTGAATTTGGCTTGCTTATCATGTCATAGACACAGCTCAGATGGAGAATTTCTACTGCTCGAAGCTATACAGGTCCAGGCAGCTAAAAGCAAGATGAGAACAAAAAGAAACAGAGTTAACGATGGAGGACTGGCTGTCAATGCCAAAGGTGGAACTTCACGCTCACCTCAATTGATCCGTCAGAGACTCCACTTTACTGTTACTTCTCTCTCTCTCTCTCTCTCTCTCTCGCTTTGTTCTCAGGAAACACAATCTAATATCTGGTGTTTTGTTTTGTGTGCAGAGAACTTGCTAGTGTTTTGGGTGATAAGGGTGTCATAGTTTTCTCAGATGTGGAGCACGTTATTCGGAAAAGTATGCCCCTTTTCTCTTTCTTGCTTGCTTTCTGTTTGGTTGCTGGGAAAATGTAGGATCAAGAAGGAAAATTTAGTCTTACGATTCTTACCCATCTTAGATTTTACATTTTTCTTGCCTGGTATTTCTAAATCCTCAACCGAAATGTCCCCATTGCATTTCAATTAATGATTTTTTTGGTGATTTTTGCAAACGCGGGTTAGGTCAGTTGGGCAAGGATTCCCGCTCGCTTGCACCTGAGTTCGAATCTCTATTACTGTAGTTTAGAATAATTCACGTTGTTTGACTTGATCCACATTCTTACCACTGACCACAAAATTATCACAAGAATTACGAAAGAAGTATGATAACAACCCGTACCTTCGTGGTCCTTCGCCGTAGCCGGGAAGTGGCCGGAGAATGGGCTTGAAGCCGTCGGACTCGCGGAGAGGGTTGGGTGTGCTGGGTTCCGGTGGGTGTGCTCTGCTCTTCACGGAGAAGGGGAGAGAGAGCACGGAGTGAGGGTGATGGCGGGGGGTGTCGTCGCCGGCGTGGTGTGGGTGGTGTGTCCTCGGGGAAAGAGAGAGAACGAGGGTGAGTTGCGAGAGGGAGAGGTCCGACTGTGAGAAAGAGAGAGTGAACTCGGGGGAGAGAAGAGAGAAGAGAAAGTGAGGGGAAAAGAGGAGAGGGGTCTACGTGGCAGCCAAGAAGAAAGAAGGGTCGGGGGACCAAAAGGGCAGGTGGGCCCCGCCCGGCTCACCAATTTATGTCCAAAAACAATCTTCAGAATATCTTTCACCCGTGAAAAGTTCAAAATGCCTCGTTTTAAAATTTGTAAAAAATTATCGGAACGGATTGTTACCGTAACTGTAGTTATAACTGACCGCACAGATTTCATCCTGAGCAAACGAGCATTTGGTCGGATGGCTAAAACTACTAATGCAGCTGCTTCTTTGTTTTCTCTTGGTATCGTTGACATCGAATACAGACGGTAAGAGCATATAAGTCTTGAAAGCAACTTTGAGGAAACTTCATGATTAATTTCTACTTCAGGTTCGAGATTTGGTAGCTCTATCTGTCTCTCTTCACAAAACATTGTTTCATGCAGCTATCCAAACAAAAATATTACGATCAAGATTGAAGAGAACCGTAATTATCTTCATATATTTGGCTTTTGCAATTTTGTACCAGCAACGGAAGAAAGATATCACAGCTATCCAGCTATGTGACGTACATTATATGCTCTTTTACTATTACTTATAAACTTGTGCTTAATTTTATTCAGTCAATATTTATAAACCAACCTAGAAATGTGCGTTACTCTAGCTAGTTAGTCAGAATAGTGTGCTCGCCTCTTTCACTACTCAGCTTTTTGCAAGCACTTGTTTTTTCTTCAAAAGGAAACAACAATTAATTTAGACTTTTAGTTATACACCAAAGAAAATATATAATAAAGAGCTGCATATGAATTCAGTCAAGTTGTTATCTTTTAGCTAAACTCTTGTTCTTGTATCTGTTGAATTTATTTGCTTTATTCTTATGTTAACCTCATTGTGGAGTAAAAAATAATCGAGAAAAATATGGAGACGACACGTAGATTCTTAAGTGAAAAAGACAAAATTATCCTTGAGGCACACCAGAGCTCCCACGCGCGAGAAGCAAACGATGACAGCTCAATCAAGGTAAAAAAGAATCAAAATATGTATTTATTCTAAACATATCTCATCATTCCTCATCAAATTCTCCACACAAAGTAACTCCCAATTACTCTTTTCAAATTGGGATTAATTAGCAAATTAATTGATTAATTACTCAATTAATCAATTGATTGCCTAATTAATTGATTTATTGCCAATTACCACCATAAGTGGCCGGTCCCCATTTCTCCAAATAGGGCCAGCCACACACCCCTATATATATCCTCACATTTCTCCAAAAACCTAAGTTCAATTCTCTTGCTAAACTCTCCAAATTTCTCGAAACATTTTTCCCTCAAATTCTAACTTTGGCATCGGATATTTTTGGGCCAAAGCCCCCCTTCATCGTGGGTGCGTGAGGCTCTTGGCTTTTACCGAAAGTTTTAATTGTTTTGCAAGTGCATTTTCGTCTAAGAATAAGAATGCGCAAATTTACATCTACACTCGTCATGACATATTAATTGAAATAATATAAAAACTTTGTATGCAAAGTATTAGACAGGATTTATGGAGCAGTTTGGACGACAACCTCGCCCCCAAGTGGACCCTTGCAAATAAGAATGTTATATGGTAATGATGATGGTAATGAGACTTGGGTTCTTCCTCACAATAACTGTATAACATACCACAACACTGGAAAGTTGGACAAATATATGTCTCAGAAGTTCAAGTGAATTAATGTTTTCTTTTGCAAATGGGAATATATATGTGTATATATATATGCTTGAATAAGAGGTTCAATATCAGAATTCCTTAATGTGATCATCATATTATATTTGTCTTGTTGATATTCTAAGTTATTACGTACAATACAAAAAGTTGCTGCTATATATATTATACGTAGACTAAAACCCGAACTCGGGTGGCACTGTTTTTCACTGTTTGTGAACAGTGAAATGGCGAAAAGGCCCTAGTTTCTTCTTTGGATTGCTACTGTTTCATTTTTTATACAGTAAAAAGTCTCTTTTGCCCTTCCCGGTCACGCGTCTTTCATCGTTTCTTTCTCTGCTTGGACCGCATCGTTTCTTCCTTGCAAAAAATTTAAGGTAGTCAAGGTTTTGTCGAAACTGACAACAACGTTTTGTCGAAGCTTATAAAATTGGTTTCGAGCGTTCGCGACCGTTGGTGCAAGAATTTCACAGTGTTGGTCTCTGTTTTCGTCGGCGATCCCGGAGTTGGGACTGAGCACGGCGTGCCTTTAAATTATCGTCGGGCAAATTGTATTGAACTCTAGTATCTTCCAAAACAGCTGCATAATAATTTATTTATTTTTTCAAATTTGTGTTCGTTTGAATGAAACCCTAACAGTTTCGTTTTGCAGTGAGTTGTAGCGGTTTGTTGAGAATTTGTCGGCTAAGGCATATTTTGTGTTTGGCTTCCTCTACTGACAAGTCTGAGAATTCGCATGAGCTGGAACGCTACTGTTGGTTTGGGTATGCCGTCCCAGCCTCCATTTTTTCACAATTGTCTCTCCGTTTCTTATTTGGATTAGTGAAGTTTGTGTTTTTCTTTTTAGTGTTTAATTTTGTGTGATTTTATTTGCTTGGATATTGGGTTTGATCGGATTACATGCTTATTTTGTAATTGATAATTGTTTTTCAATTAATGGGGGTATTTCGAATGAACCAGAAAAGTCAATCGGTTTATGAAGAGCATGTTTGTAGGTTGATAAATTATGAAATCTATGAAAACTGGGCAGATTGATAAATTACATACGTGCTCTTTATTTGTAGAATTACATACTTTATTTGATGCATGTTTGTAGAGCCAGTTTTAAACAAAAACACCCAAACAATTCTCCCAGCAAGTTGTTAGCAATATTCCTGACTTTTCCAGTTCTGAAAACAATTTGATGCATACAAATTTATTCCTGCTTATTGTTGTTTTACAGCATAACCAGCTTTTCTGTATAGCATGGCCTCCAATCATCATTCATTTGAAGGTACGCCATTCTTCCACTATCTTTTATTTAATTTGATAAAATTATCTCATATGTTTAACTTATTAACAATAACACGATTTCATGTACTAACTAGCTACCAGGATGCTTGCTTTTTGTATGATTTCCATTATTTGAAGTATCTGAGTAGAGTTTTGTTCGAATTAGAAAAATCAATTTAAATTCAAGCTTCTTTACAAGCTTGAGAAGAGATTTTAGTCTTATAATAGTTAATAATTAAGAAACAATTAGAGTCATACATGTACTACACATATTGCTAACTATCCTAAACCAAAAGTGTTGTCATTACTGCTTAAACATACCAATCAGTCTACATTCTGTGAATGCATATGATGACTGAGCAGTTTAATCCTCAATTATAATCTCATTTGTAAAGCTTTTGCTATCCCAACTAATACACACCTGTAATATTGTATTTACACCATACTAAAACATTATCTTTTTCATCTGTTCAATCAAAATTTTATCTAATGCACATTCCAAAAAGACAAACGTGCAAAAATTTGATCACATCGTATAAAATTGCCAGAAAAAAGGTCATTCCCAAATCATGCAAAACCAGCCTTCTTTCCTGCACAAAAAAATGGGTAAACACAATCTATCCTTATTTTATTCATGATATAAGGTAATTAAAACTAAAATATCTTTTTTATGAACACCAATCAGCTTCTTTGCCCGCTAGGTCCATTGTTCTTCATTTCGCATGTCTTTATAGAGATTTCATACTCCTCAATTTGGGATTTCTGTGTTGTAGATTTTGCAACAGCGGTTGCATGGGAAGCAGGGAAGCTGTTGGTGACGGAGAGGGTGAAGATTGCTCCACCTAAGGCCATGGAAATGAGGATAAAGGTCAAATATACCTCAGTTTATCACACTGAACTCTACTTCTGCCGAAGGTCAGCAATAATATCTACTACATACATATAATATTCATAATATATATATATATATATGATTTTATATGATTAAGCTTTGAGAATTGCAGATTTGTAAACTATGAGTAGTAGGGGTGGGCACTTGGAACCGAAAACCGAAACCGAAACACGAATCGAATCAAACCGTACCAAACGGTTTGGTTTTGCGGTTTTGAAACGGTTTCGGTTTCAAAACCGAACCGCGGCACACAAAATGGTTTGGTTTCGGTTTTGGGTTTTCAAAACCGCACCGAAATCGAAACCGCACCATATAATAAATAAATGTTATATAACTTATATTTTAAACTTTTCAACTAGGTTATAACTTATAGGTTTGTATTATGGCAAACTTAACCTTTCAATTGGGTTGTAAAGTATTGTCATTGGTGATCAAGTTCAATTTTAGTAGATGTGATGCATAAGGATTTAAAGTTTAAACCCTTTGATGCATTGGATGTTGTCTCAATTTTAGTAGTTGTCATTTGTTGCAGTTTTGGTACAAGTTTGGTACAAGTTAGCTGCACTTTTGGTGCAGATTTTTGGTTCTGATTTGTTGCAGTTTTGGTACAAGTTTGGTACAAGTTAGCTACACTTTTGGTGCAGATTTTTGGTTCTGTTTTGTGCAGTTTTTTGGTGCTGTTTTGGTGCTGTTTTTTTATGCAGTTTTGCTGCATTATTTTTGGGTGCAATTTTGTGCAGTTTTGGTGCAGTTTTGTGCAGTTTTTGGTGCTGTTTTGCTGCTGTTTTTTATGCAGTTTTGCTGCAATTTTACTGTATATTCATTAATTAATATACGAGGAAAATAAGACCGTCTTATGCATAAATAGGTGTATATTTTAAATTGTACATTTTTTTTCTCCAAAACCAAACCGAAACCGTTTGAAACCGCACCGCACCAAACCGAACATTTACTTCGAGTGAATACATTGTTGTTCATTTTGGCCGTCTTTCCAAAATCAAGCCCCTTGCTCAGTTGGACAAAGTTTGCATCCGTAGTTGTGCCATACCAACATGTTTGGTGTTGTACTCAATGCTTTAGAGCCTTGAATTATGCATCCTCAACTGATGCTACATATTGAATCGTTTGCATTATTACTGAATACTTTGTTTTTTAATATCAGGTTTGGGTTCCCCTCTCAATGTAGCAAAACGAAAAATTATCCTCAGATGTTGTTTATTGGCCTCGCTGTAAGTTTGGACAAACTTTGTTGATCCCAAATTCTTTGTTCTAATAAATTGCATTTACTTTTTTTTTTCCGTATTTATACTGATACATGGATGATCTAGGTTACTGAAGGTGGAAAAATTCCTGAGGCGCTAGAGTATTGGGGTGGAGTCGGTGGACTTGAAGCCCAAGAGGTTTGACGAAGGTATTTATCTTTTATTTTTTATTTTTTATTTTTGACGTTTGGCTTTGGTTTAACAGGTAGTTTAGTGGAAAACATAGAAACATATTTTTGCTTAAACATTCTTTCCCTGGCCATAACTAAGAAATTCGGAGTAAATGAATTTGTGAATTCGAGTGACAATGACAAACCAATGCACAAGATGAAAAATGATTCGCTATTCTTATTATGTGTTGGACATGAATCAACATAGATGGTTCAGTTGTAACTTTAACTTATATTTTTATTTTCTTCTGCTTCTCATCTACCCAAGTCTACAATGTACATACAGCTAAGGAAAAGACCGAGACATCAACCAGTGCAGAAGCTCTTGATAGGACTAATTGCAGATAGCACTACAAATGAGCACTACAATTTTAAGCTTGATGTTGGTATGTGATTTCCACTCCATCTCATCTTTTTTTTTTTTAATGTTAGTTTAATTTTCAAAACTTTTGTACGTATAAAGTAATTCTCCATATAATTGAATAATTGCCTTTTTTTCGTTTCTCATTTTTGCTCTTCCATCAATTCATTGGTTAAATAGATTGAAAATTTTTAATTTTTTTATATTCAATTCTTACTGATTCCAATTCTTAATATATGGTAAGAGAAAAATTTTGGACAAAGCAAAAAATAACATGATGACCAAGAAAAAGATGGTCATTCCCAAACAAGCAAGACCAAAGGATTGACCAGGAAAAATCATAAACACTGAGCAGATGTGTGGTGCCAAGCTTCTGATATGGACATGAATATTTTTCGTATTTGAACGATTTTGATATTATGAACTTCTGTACATGAATATAGCTTTCATAGCATCTCTATCTTTATAACAGTGAGGAATTCACACTGCCAATCTCCATCTTAGGTATATAAATCTAATTTCAATAAATTCTGTTTTCTGTATGTACATATTATCAAAATATTTTAAACACCCGCAGCAACGCGCAGGCACTTTTGCTAGTATATATATATATTTGTGCTGCCAAATTATTATGAAAAACCCCATTGACGGAGAATTTTTTTATTGTGCTTAGAATACATGTAGCATATCACGTTTCATTACATAAATGAAGAGAAGTTTTATTTTTTAAGTTAATTTTTTAATACAAGTATCTCACCACTTGCATCACTAGTGACACGTGATGTACCATTCCATGTTTCGTTCACATTGAAAATCTCTTCTATTAATGATACAATTTTTACTTGAAGATGCGCGGTCCACATTCCAATGAATTATAAACATTATCTAACGTATGTCTAGCTAGCAAAATGTCTAAAATTAGAATCACTTAGTATTATAATCTATAGGTATTCTTTCACTTGTAGATAAAATGTATTAAGTTTAAATCTCAAAATTAATGAATTCGTAACCAATTTATTCCTACATTCTCTCCATACTACAAGGGCTAGTATCGCAAAAGGCCGCAACTCAAACATTCCATAGGCAATCTAAATGCTTTACATTAAAAGTTTCTGTCCAACATGCCACAAGAAATTTGACTCTGAAACAAGTCTGAATAACAATATACGTACATACTGAGATTGGCCAATTGAAACTTTTGATGAGTTGGATCTTAGTGTCACCAACTTTTAACATTCCGAATCTCTTTGTGAAAATTCTGAGAATTCTCAAATTGTATCCGTTCATGGTATATCGTGTTATCAGAAATTAGTTTAAATATTTTATTTTAAAGGGAATTGTTATTAACACTCCAAAAATTTTATTCTACACTCCAAACTTTCTATATTAGAAAAGAAAAATACAATTGTGAGGAGTGTAGAATGAGATTTTTTTAGTGCCAATAACACTTCCCATTTTAAATTAAATATAAATAGTACTTGATAAAAATTGACTGCACAGTATACAATGAACGAATACAATTTGAAGATTTCCAGAATTCTCACAAAGAAGATCTGGAAAGAATCTCCTCCTAAAATTCCAAACCAAAATATCAAACCTCGCAAAATTGGAGAGATTGGACATCTCTGCAGAAATCTATCAGGTCATGCTGAATCCCAGTTTCGCTATCAAGTCGTCATTTCTTGTCATCATTTTGCATACAATGATCTGTTGAATATTCAAGTCTGTGTGTGTGTGTGTGTATATATATATATATGTGAGTAAATTGTAACAATAGTCTTTTAACTTTAACTTAGAGTAATGGTTCCTCAACTAAAAATTTATTACCATTGGTCTCTTAACTTATCAAAACATGCAGTTATGGTCCCTAAACTAAAAATCGATTACTATTAGTCCCTCAACTTTAATCCAACTAGAGTAATGATCCTTCAACTTTAACCCAATTGGAGCAATGGTTCTTCCAACATAGCTTATTTTGACAAAATTCTAACAAAGTTGATAAAAATGACCATAGCTACACATTTTGATGAGTAGATGGACCAATGGTAATGGAAGTACTTTTTGTATTTAATTTTAAATAAAAAATTCATAATAATTTCTGACCGTACAAATAATCGAACCAGACTCTAAGGCCATGTTAGTGTTTCTGGTTTCTGAGATTTTCAATGGTTATGCAAAAAATGGAGAAGAAGAAAGAATTGATGAATGTTTTCCTCTCTGCCACAAAATGTAGCAGAGGAATATATCTCTCTTACTCTGATGCAATCACGCATACATCGAGCAATATACATGACCATTAGAGAGAAGTGGCTGGATTCCCTACATCACAAAATGATCTCAGCCATACATTTAGCTAATTACTAGGATCATCACACATGGCATTTTATGCCTTACATTTTTTGACCTCACACTTGGCAATAATATACTCAAGTGAATACACAAATAAACTCATCTTACACTAATACTAATCAGCTATAGACTTATAATTCAACGATGTATTTACATTTGTTGGACTCCAAGAATTCTTCTACGACCAAATGCCGGAGGAAATGAGAAGCATGGGAGCAGCAGCATACCTCAGTGCGGTACGTGTTGGAAACTTCTTGAGCAATGCTATAACATCTGTGGTGCAAGAAATTAGCTCAATGCATGGTGAAAAAAGGCTTGGTAACAATATCAATCATGCCCACTTCGATTACTTTTATTGGGTAATTGCAGCTTTGAGCACTTTGAATTTGTGCGTTTATGTACTTCTTGCTAAACCTTTCGTATACAAAAAGTTTGAAGCACAAGAAACCAACAAGGAGAGAAAGAGCTGACTTGAAGCTTATGATCTCTCTTGCAGTTAAGAGAAAGTACAGGTATTAGTATAGAAAAATGTCTGTACTCATTCCGTGTTTAATATAAGGCTTTTATAATATAGTGGACACCTCACTGCCTCATTATACTACAGTTCTTGCAGACATAAGCATTATACTACAGTAATTGTACAATACTTATAGACTTTGGTGCGTTGCATTGATGACAATCTGTGGTAACTAATCATTTTAATGATTCGATAAAAAGGAAGCCGTTATTGTTTCCTTGAATCCTTTATCCCTGTATCTTTTTTTTTCAAAATACAAATGTACGAATCATTATATTGAAATTGGTTAACTAGTAGAATTGGATGATCTTTTTCAAAACACACATGAATTTATGTACCTAGAGTAACTGTACAATACGTATAGAGATGGAGCCCCCAACAAACATAAAAGATAAAACAATCAAGTATTTGTCCCCTAGGTGACAGGGAAATGATGGAATAGGTGGAATGTCTGAAAAGAAACAAAAAAGATAAAAACACTCGCATGCATTACACAAAACTATCTTCTTTTTTTTTTTTTCTGTCCTCCATTTCTTGGCAGAAAGTGGAGAGATTTTGCAAAAGTTTCTATAAAGTGAAACCTCACATGGGTAATCGGTGACTTTAATTTCTATTCTTCTTCTTTGCCGTCTCCTTAATTTTTCTTTTTAATATTGTAGGTATGAGATGCCAGCTTAATTTGAACTCTTATAAGTCAAACGATACACGCGAACAGAAATCGGGTTGCCGGCCCATTAATTATTCTAATCCTTAATTAGTAAAAAAGAAATGCGTATCGCACAATCTTCAATTCCAAGTGAATAATTAAAGGGATCCCAGCGAACGGTGAAATCCATTTCCAGAAGAAAAAGTGGAAAAAGGGTAGAGATCCAGCAAGAAACAAAACAAACCCAAGAAATCAGAAATGGGAGATGGTGAGGGCTGTACGACCGTCCCACTGATTGATCTGAACCAGTTTCCAGATGCACTTTAGCTATTGCCGCTGTGCTATCACAATGGATCAAAACTGCTGGAATCGATTTCTCCCATAAAGGGGTATCTAACAGTAGGTTTCTCAACCATCCTGCTTCTTCGCTTGCCGTAGCTAACGCTATTAATTCTGACTCCATCGTAGACTGAGCCAAGATAGTCTGTTTCTTTGACTTCCATGACACAGCCCCGCCACCAATATTAAAAATATATCCACTAGTGGCTTTAGAGCATCTGAAAGGGTATTCCAATCAGCGTCGCTGTAACCTTCTAGGACAGCGGGAAACTTCTCATAATGTAATATGAAATTCATTGTCCTTTTAAGGTATCTCATAAGCCTCTCTATAGCATGCCAATGCTCCAAACTGGGTTTACTAGTAAACCTGCATAAAACTCCTACGGCATAAGATATATCAGGCCTAGTGCAATCAGTAGCATAACGAAGGCTACCAATAATACTCGCATATTCAGATTGTTTAACACTGTCACCAGTGTTCTTGAACAATTTTACACTAGGATCATAAGGAGTACATGCTGGTTTACAATCAAAATAGTTATACTTTCTTAAAAGTTTTTCTATGTAGTGAGATTGATCTAAAGAAAACCCATGTTCGGACCTAGTTATTTTCAAACCAAGTATTACACTAGCTTCACCCAAATCTTTCATATCAAAATTAGCACATAACAAAGTTTTGACATTATTCACAACATGAAAATTCGAACCAAAAATAAGCAAATCATCCACATATAGGCATATAATAGTGCATATATTATTTTCAGACTTATAATAGATGCATTTGTCACTTTCATTTATTTTAAAACCATTCGAAGTAACCAAACTATCAAATTTCGCACGCCATTGTTTAGGAGCCTGTTTCAATCCATAAAGTGACTTATCTAACTTGCAAACTTTATTTTCTTGTCCTGGAATAATAAAACCCTCTGGTTGATCCATATATATTTCTTCCTCTAATTCACCATTTAAGAAAGCTGTTTTAACATCCATTTGGTGCACAACAAGATCATGAATAGAAGCTAAAGCAAATAATACACAAATAGAAGTTATTCTAGTCACAGGTGAATAGGTATCAAAGAAATCAATATTTTCTCTTTGTCTATAGCCTTTGGCAACAAGTCGGGCTTTAAATTTTTCAACTGAACCGTCAGGTTTTAATTTTCTTTTAAGAATCCATTTGCAACCTATTATTTTGCAACCAGGTGGAAGATCCACCAAATGCCAAGTTTGATTTGACTCCAAGGAGTCCATTTCATCATTTATAGCTTCTTGCCACAAATCTGCATCTAAAGAAGTTAAAGCTTCTTGAATTGTATTAGGATCTTCTTGTAAGTTATATACATGAAAATTAGGCCCAAAATCTTTAGCTATTCGAGCTCTTTTACTTTTCCTAGGTTCTAATGCAGATTGACTATGTTCTACAATAGTAGGTTCATAAGTTTTAGAAGAATTAGAACCCCCACTATTTCGAAGATTAAAAGGAAATTTATTCTCATAAAAATCAGCATCTAGTGACTCAATTATGACATGGTTCTTCAAATCATAAAAT